GTGTGACACTGCGCGTGACACCACATGTGACACCGTGACACTGCATGTGACACCGCGTGTGACACCGTGCCAGGGCGTGACACCAGCTGTGACCCCTTCGCGAGGGCTGTGCCGGGGCGTGTGACACCGTGTGTGACACTGTGCGTGACCCCGTGTGTGACACCGTGTGACACGGTGTGTGACACCGTGTGTGACACTCTGTGTGACACCGTGTGACACTGTGTGACACCGTGTGTGACACCGTGTGTGACACTGTGCGTGACACCGTGTGTGACACCGTGCCAGGGTGTGACACCAGCTGTGACCCCTGTGCGAGGGCTGTGCCGGGGCGTGTGACACCGTGTGTGACACTGTGTGACACCGTGTGACACCGTGTGTGACACTGTGCGTGACACCATGCCGTGGTGGCACCCCCGTGCCAGGGCCGGGTGTGCCGGGCGGTGTCCCCTCCCTGTCCCCTCCCTGTCCCTGTCCCCTCCCTGTGCCGGGCTGTCACTCCGCTGTTCCTGTCCCTGTCCCCTCGTGTCCCTGTCCCTGTGCCGGGCTGTGACTCTGCTGTCCCTGTCCCAGGCCATGTCCCCTCTGTCCCCTCCCTGTCCCTGTCCCTGTCCCCATGTCCCTGTCCCTGTCCCCTCCCTGTCCCCAGTGTCCCCAGGGCCGGAATTCCGCCCCGTGACACTGTGCGTGACACCATGCCGTGGTGGCACCCCCGTGCCAGGGCCGGGTGTGCCGGGCGGTGTCCCCTCCCTGTCCCCTCCCTGTCCCTGTCCCCTCCCTGTGCCGGGCTGTCACTCCGCTGTTCCTGTCCCTGTCCCCTCGTGTCCCTGTCCCTGTGCCGGGCTGTGACTCTGCTGTCCCTGTCCCAGGCCATGTCCCCTCTGTCCCCTCCCTGTCCCTGTCCCTGTCCCTGTCCCTGTCCCCATGTCCCTGTCCCTGTCCCCTCCCTGTCCCCAGTGTCCCCAGGGCCGGAATTCCGCCCTGGACTTTCCGGACTTGGGGGGGGGGAGGGCAGGAAAGGGGGGGAGGGGCAGCGGTCAGTCCGGCCGGGCCGAGGGACCGGACACCCCCTGAGCCCCCCGGACACCCCAAAACCCCCCCGGACACCCCCTGAGCCCCCCGGACACCCCAAAACCCCCCCGGACACCCGTGTCCCCCCCGTGTCCGTCTGCCCCTGCCCCCCCGTGTCCGTCTGTCCGTCCGTGTCCCCCCCGTCTGTCCGTCTGTGCCCCCCCCACTCCATCCGTCCGTGCCCCCCGCTGTCTGTCCGTGTCCGTCTGTCCGTCTGTCCATCCCACCGCAGTGACCCGTAGCCATCTGTCCCCTCCCCTCTGCCACCCCCTGCCCACTGTCCCCTCTGTCCGTCTGTCCCCCAGTGTCCCTGCTGTCCGTCTGTCCCCACTGTGTGTCCCGGTCACCCACTGTCCATCCCTGTGTCCCCCTGTCCCCGCTCCCTGTGTCCATCTGTCTGTCCCCTGTCCCTGTGTCCCCTGTCTGTCTGTCCCTGTCCCCTCTGTGTCCCCTGTCCCTGTGTCCATCTCTGTGTCCCTCTGTCCATTGTCCCCTGTCGGCGTCCCCTGTCTGTCCCTGTGTCCCCTGTCTGTCCCCGTGTCCGTCTGTCTGTCCCCTGTCCCTGTCCCCTCTGTGTCCCCTGTCTGTCCCCGTGTCCGTCCGTTTGTCCCTGTCTGTGTGTCCCCGTCCCTCTGTGTCCCCTGTCTGTCCCGTGTCCATCTGTCTGTCCCTGTCTGTGTGTCCCTGTCCCCTCTGTGTCCCCTGTCTGTCCCGTGTCCGTCCGTCTGTCCCTGTCTGTGTGTCCCTGTCCCCTCCAGGTGCCACCCTTGGGTGCTTTGGCTGCTCCAACCTCCCCCCGCCCGCAGGTAAGAGCCGCCCCTCCCCCCCTGCACCCCCTATAGGGAACCTATGGGGGCCTACAGATCCCTGTGGGGCCTACAGATCCCTATGGGGCCATATAGATCCCTATGGGGTCAATATAGATCCCTATGGGGCCTATAGATCCCTAAAGGGGCCTATAGATCCCTGTGGGGCCCTATAGATCCCTATGGGGCCTATTGATCCCTATGGGGTCAATATAGATCCCTATAGGGCCATATAGATCCCTATAGGGGCCATAGGGACCCTGGGCACCTATAGGGGCTATATCAGTCCCTACAGGGCCATATAGATCCCTATGGGGCCATGGGGACCTGTGGGGCCTATAGATCCCTATGGGGGCCGTATAGATCCCTATAGGGGCCTATAGATCCCTATGGGGCCTATAGATCCCTATGGGGTCAATATAGATCCCTACAGGGCCATATAGATCCCTGTAGGAGCCACACAGACTCCAGGGCCCCATGGAGCCCATATAGACCCCTATAGGTGCCCATGCAGGAGCCATTCAAACTCCTGGGTCTCTATAGACCCTATAGGGGCCGTGCAGACCCCAGGGCTCTATAGGGCCCATATAGATCCCCATAGGGGCCGTGCAGACCCCAGGGCTCTATAGGGGTCCATATATATCTCTATAGAGGCCGTGCAGACCCCAGGCCCCTCTGGGGGTCCACAGGCCCCTATGGAGCCCCCAGGCCCCTCTGGGGGTCCCCAGGCCCCTATAGAGCCTCCATAGGCGCCGCCCGCTCCTCTCCCGGCCGCAGTTTGGGGGCGGTTGCCATGGCAACGCCTCCATCATGGCGCCTCCTCGCGCTATTTTGGGGAGGGGGCGGTGCCGGGGGGGGTG